GCAGGAGATTATGAAGCCTGGGCACACGGAAACCAGGGGAAGTTCTGCAGATTCTAACCAGCCAGGTAGCAGACCCCACTATCTGGCCCCCCGAATGCCAAAGACACAGTGAAAGCCCCAAGGCGACATGGGGGCCCCAACCACTTCCCTGAGCCATCAAACTGGCACGAAAGGGAAAGCTTACCGCCAACAAAAGGGCCGTGGACTGCTTACCAGGCTTGGATCCCAGGGAGGGACTGGTAAGATTTAAATCAAAGACAGGAAGGATAACCCAGACATGTATAATTCACAGCTGACTACATTACCTCTTCTGAATTTATAATGACGATGACAATTTGTGGAAAGTTTCTGAGGAATAAATAATTGATAACACACTCCATACAGCACGGCACACTGCCAGTGGAGACAATGAGTTGGGATGTATTAAAACAATAGATTCTTTCATTCAACATTTATCAAGCACCTGCTATAGACTAGCACACACAAGTCATCTGTTTCGACACGAGACTCAGCTGACAGAATACGGGAAATAATTACAGGGCTCTCGAAGAGCCAAGGACCTCGGAGCCTTTGATTATGAAAGATTTCTTGAGCTCCTACTATGTGCTAGACACCATGCTAGGTGCTAAAAACAGAAAAATTCAGACTCAGCTCTAGCTCTCGAGGATGACATAGGTTAGCGGTTTGACAATATATTTCACCTTTCTTCCTGTGTATAACTGTGTGCAAAGCCATGTGACAGAAAATCATAAAGATTTACTGAGGTAAATTTACTGCGATGTAGTATCTCCATCTGACTGGATCGATCAGGGGCCTGGAGAGAGCTTTACATGTTGAGAATGGTTTCAGTTTCAGCTTTATGATACAAAATCACCTGCAGGGACAGATTTTTACAAAACAGATACCCAGTAAAATTTTACTGACTGAACTGAAAAATAAACCAGCAACAAAACTAATTTAAAAGCCAGGCAATTTACAGGAGAAATTCATTAAGAATTTACAGATAACAAGTACACCTTTCATATCATTTGAATACAACTTGAATAGCTTCACATCTCTTTGCTTTAAATATGCCAATTGTCTTTGCATAGTACCTACTCTCTCAATTTTATGTTGCTTATAAATAAAGACTTCCTTTTAGTACTTTTAAAGATTTTCATTTACATCATGATTTCATTTTAACAGTGTTTGGCTACAACGTGGCAATTCTGACATCTCATCAAGCATTTCAATTTTGGTTATGTTTGAGTAAACATGCTTAGGGCTCATAATTTATATAAAACTTTGTAATTAGAGTTTCACATAGGAGTCTATCAAATTTCCAAACTTCCTTCTGTTACTCTATGATGATAAATAGTTATTCCCAGTTACAAAAAAGTAAATGCTTATATATGCAAAGTAAATTTTCTACCCAAAGTAGATTTTACTCGGTTTTCTCTCTCTGCAACAGAAATCATCTATTCATTTGCAAACTGCACACTCCAAAAACACATGTAAATGGAAGAGAGCTGTCTGGTTAAGGGAAGAACAATCATTACACAAAATGTGTTTCAGATGGAAAAACAGCAGAACTGAAATTACTTTAAAACTCACTGCACTGTAAATTATTTAAAAATCATCTTAAACACACATTAATGAAAAATCATGTCAAAAACACTTTTTAAAGAAAAATAATTAGCAAAAGCCTAAATGACTAACAACTATGGATTCCTAGGTATGTTTGCTATTAACTCTAATTATCTAACAGTTCAGTGAACTCACACCAAAGGAATGAGGGAATGGGGGAGAACTCAGTGAGAACTAAAACTGTAATTACCTACTTTCATGAAGAAATTCTTTCTGAAGGGGTAGAAATACTCAGAAAGCAAAGAACAACTGGATAGCACCGCCTCTCACATTTAGAGCTGGTTACCTAAGATCGGGGTTTCAGAGGAGCTTCCGAGAGGCAGAGTAGAAAAGAGAAAGGAGCATATTTTTAGAGTGTAACACTCGGGGTTTAGTCTCAGCACTGCCATTTCCTGGCCTTAAGATCTCAGAGAAGTCTCCTCACTTCCCTGAAGGGCTTTGAAGGCCTCATGTGAAAAGGGCACAGTTTGCAGAAATGACCTCAGGGTCTCTTCTGGTTTCTTTCTGGTACCAGGAGACCTGCAGCGGGCTTCACTCTGAATTGGGCATTTATTCACTTGATAAACATTCACGGCATTTTGCTCCAGACACTGTGCTGGACAATGCAAAGATGAGTGAGGCAAGGGTCCTTTCTGAAGGGCTCACAATCTGTCAAGGGATGCAGACTTGTACAGAGACAAGGTCAGTCTCACTCAGTAAAAACTAGGGGACCAGTGGCAAGTGCTGGCTGCCCAGGATCCATCGAGGGAAAAAGAACTGGGGCCAGGGAGGAAGTGGTAGAGAGGGCTTCCTAGAGTGAAGGAACTATTGGAACAGCACTGAGGACTAAGCTGAAGTCAGAAATTATATACCTGAAATGGTTCCAATCGTTGGATTGGTACCAGAGTTTTCTAAGGGTAGAGTTACACTCTTTGCTTTTACGTGAGGAGAGTAATGCGGCAAAGACTGTCTCCGGTCTGTAGTCTGTCCACCACCCACATAAGCAAAGAGAACCCAGCTGAGCACCCAAAGGGAAATGTGGGACATGGAACGAATGGGGGAGGCGACACTATTTTCTAACATGAAACATAGGTGTGTCTGCATTTTTTATGACACACTTCTTGCCATTGGTTGAGGGAACAGGAAGCTTGAGAATCATTATTTATCCCCAGTCGCCTGGGTTTTTCTCTCTCCCTCTCTAGAGTTGAGTGCAGCAGGGCTCTTGGCCCCCTGATATATCTGTAATTGTTTTCAAAATGGAAAAGTTTAAGCTGGGGTTCTTCAATTTTGTGTAAGTGCCAACTTGGGGTTGCCAAGTTATTCAGCCTCTGGGATAAAATTGCTTTAGCACTCAAATGTAAAACTGGAAAGATCATTCTAAATATAGACACCACCTTCCAAAAACAAGTAAATTATCTACAGCAATCTCTTAAGCCTTCCGACATCACTAGAGTTCCTTGGTTGCTAACAACTGAATCTGACTCTGGCCAACTTAGGTGGAAAGTTTGGAATTTATTGGAAGGAAACAGGGAAGAAGTGCACACATAATCAACAGGGCAGCAGAACAGTGGTTTCTAGGGGCTGAGTTATTGATTAATGGGAACAGAGTTTCTGTTTGGGATGATGAAAAAGTTTTGGAAATCGATGGTGGTAATGGTTGAATACAACACTGTGAATGTAATTAATGTCAATGAATTGCATGCTTTAAAACGGTTAAAATGAGAACTAGCCCACCACAATAAAAAAAAAACTAATTTTAAATAATGGGCAGAAGACTTGAGTCAGCATTTCACCAAAGAAGACACATGAATGACTAATAAGGACCTGAAAAAGTGCCCCATATCATTAGTCATTAGGGGAATACAAATTAATAGCACTATGAAATACCACTACACGTTCACTATGATGACTGTAATCAAAAAGGCGGATAACAGCAAGTGTTGGTGAGGATGGAGAGAAACTGAAACACTGACACATTGCTGGTGGGACTGTAAAATGGTGTAGCGACTTTGGAAAATTGTCTGGCTATGTGTTAAAACATTAAACATAAGCTTACTGCAAGGACCAGCAATTGTTCTCCTAGTAATTTACCCAGGAGAAATGAAAATATATCTCCATGCAAAGACTTGGACACAAGTGTTCAGATCAGCTCTATTCACAATAGCTAACAACTGGAAACAATCCAAATGTCCATCAGCTAATGCCTGGATGAACAGAATGCTGTATACCCATAGAATAGGACACTAGTTAGACACGGAAAGAAACGAAATACTGATACACACTGGAACGTGGCTGAACCTCAGAAAGATTACGCTAAGTGAAAGAAGCCAGATGCGAAGGACTTCGTGTTGTAAGATTCCATGCATATGAAAAGTCAAATTATTTATAGGGACAGAAAGCAGATTAGCGGTTCCCTGGGTCTGGGATGGAAGAAGGGATTAACTGCGAACAGGCTTATATAAATTTGGGGATTGACCGGAATGTCCTACAACTGAATTGTGTTAATGGTTGCATAATTCTATTAATTTGCTAAAAATTACTGAATTGTACACTTAGAACGGGTGGCTTTTTGTAGATTTTAAATTTTAAAAACTCAATAAAACTGTTAAAATACATACATACATACACACAAATCTGACACTGAAAAATAATGAGTCTTACTTTCAGGAAGCAATACAATCAAAATACCATCTCCATGACCTGAGACAAAGAGTTTCCTTATTTCAGCTACATGTCTCTTGTTCATACACTGTAACATTACAAGTGTAGGATACTGACATTGGTCAGTGATGGAAGCCCACGCCCTAAATGATCTTAAGCTTTCTGAATTAAATTCCATGGTCCCTGCGCTTGCTCAGCAAATAGCAGTAAATTTACACACTCTAAAAATGGACAACATCGGCCTTTTATTGGGCTCATTTCAAAGAAAAATAAAGCAATAAAAGGGAGTCTGAGAAGCAATTCAAATCCCTAGACTGAGTAATAAACTGTGTTATATATGATCATTGTGACCTAGAAACGTTTAATCTGAAGCAGCAAAGGCTGACCTAGTAACTGATTTAATAGCTGTCCTCAGTGATGTGAAGGGTTTTACAGGGAAACTGACTAGTTCTTCTCTCTTTCCACTGAGACCCCAGCACAACAAAGCGATTTCATAATGAGCAAGGCACACTGAGACTGAACATAATAAACACCGACAGTAACTGCTATCAAATACTGGAATACGTTTAACTAGGATGTGTTTGTCCGAGCTGTTTCCTTGGTGATCCCGAAGACCAGCCCAGACAGGCACCTCTGGTCTGCCTGGGAGCCCGGAGTCAGACGAGCCCACCTCGGGACGCCGAGCGGGTCTGCGGGGAAGGGACCGCCGCCCCCCTGACCTGCAGGCGCCTTACCTCGATATCCCGATTAAGCTGCTTCACGATGGCGGTGATGTTCCTGATGTGCTCCTCCAAGAAAAGCCTGGCCAAGCGGTCGCCTCCCCCTTTGTTCTGCATTTTCTGCAAGCTGCTGACAATGTCGTCTTTAATCCGGAAGGCGTGCTCCACAAGGGCGGCCGTGGTTTTCTCGTGGCAGAGGATCCGATCCTCCAGTTGCTCCACTAGGCTCACGGACGAGTAGGGTGCCATGGTCAGGGACTGGCTGTGTCGGGGCATAGTCCGAACTCGCCTGCGGAAGGGAGCCCCCCATCACCAGGGTTGTCAAGTGGGAGAAAGTCATTTTTAAAGCCAGATTCAAGACTTCCCAGAGAAGGAAAGGCCAACTACCTACCCCGACATAAGCTAAATGGGATGTGAGGCAGGGTTTCTGCCCCAAAGAGTCTGCTTCGTGAGCCAGGCAGCATCTTTAAACAATGGCACCCAGAGAGTTAAGCGTGCTGGTAGCAGGCTCCATGACCTCCCAAAGCAAGAGGCTGGAGGACCAACCAGGCTGATTGACAGACTCTCCTGACCTGCCCTCCTCCTCCCTCCCCCTAAAGCAGTGATGACAAACTCAAATGCCTACAAGGATCAGGCAGTGACATAAATGAGTGAAGCACACCATGTGGTGTACAATAGGGAGTGGTGGGGACTTTGGAGAACTGGAAAGGGCATTCCTCAATTAAAGGGAGCCACAATTCCGCTCCACCCCTGAGGGACCATCTGGGAATATAGGTCCATTTTAACAGACCAGATGATATTTCAAGAAGAGTCAGGAAATCCAGGCTTGCATGTAAAATCATCTGATTTTTTAAATGTTAACAACTCATTTCAAAAGTCTTTAAGATGATCCAGGCCAAAACACAATGAACTTCTATGAGCCAATTTTGGCCTATGGACACCCAATTTGCAACTTCTGATTTAAAAAGGGTTTTAGCAGAGATATCAGCCCCCGAGCCTCTAGAGGTACATTATACTGTTGACCAGGAGTACAACTGAAGGGCTCCCGTGACTCTCCATCTGTCACGGTCACTGAGTGGTCCACAGTACTCCACACGCTGGAAGCTGGAGAGGGGACAACGGCACCACTCTTGCCCTGGAAAAAGTCACTCTTGATAATGTAACATTTGCAAGGCTTCATTTGTAATGACCATCACACCCACTAGCAGCCCTTATGGAATTGGTGGAAAGAAAAAGTATACCTTAGATGCATATTTTCCATATATCACACCTTTCCTCAGTGACAAGAGAAGGAAATACAGTGCTCCGTTGGGCCATTTTCTTTTTAATAATTCACATCTGTAAAAAAAAAAGTATTAAATTATTAAACAGTTTATAGTTAGAACCTAAATGACCGCTAAAGTTTATTATTAAGTTACTAAGGAGATCAAAAATTATGCTGACATGCTGATCAATTATATTATTGAATATCTTATATCTTATATATGACATAAACAGAAAATGTTTCCAAATAAGAAGAAAAGAATCAAGCATCAAAATGCTTCTGAACGTAAATGCCACTTAGCCTTGCTGGACAGATCAACAAGGGCCATCAAATGGAGCTTCCTGAAGTTTCCTCACACCGTAATCTGCATCTCAAGCTTGAGAAACTGCTTTTATAGAAACAAGACAGTTCCTTCAAGAGGCTTATTCAGTACTGTACTTCTCCGTAGAAATGTACGGGAAACCACCTTAGTTAATTTGATCTCAGCCAATTTAGTAAGTCACACAGCAAATTAAGAGCACTTATTTTTAAATTAATCTTAATCAAACAATGCGTGATAAATGGGATCTGATTTGAGGCAATTTATCTATTCATGAAGAGAAGTAGAATGATATTCTTCGTTAAAACTTTAAAACTGTATTACAAGACACAACCATTCATATTACACCATGCATATATACGGCACACTAGATCATCACAATGCATTAGAAAGCTGAACAAAACTGGAAGGTTTTAAAAATATTTCATTACCTACGTTTCTCAGTACTGCTGTTAACTGCCTTAAAACAACGAATGCCTAGTAACTGTGACCTGATTCAGTAATTAGTTCTCATTTAGATGCTGGATTCAGAAAGCATTTCTGATTAAAACTATTATTTTGGCATCAACTATCCAGTGTGTTATTTTTAGAGTTTCAAAATGTGAACATTCCACTTTCTTAGACAAAGAACTTTGAATTTAAACAAATTACATTTAAGGAAAAAAATGATTCATGCCAAACAAGCTACGACACCAAAGGAGATATCAGAGATATCAGATTATTGATATCAGATATATCAGATATCAGAGATAATAATTTCTGCCATTTAGATTACATAAAATTAGGCTAGTGTAAGAGATGTTAATGTTGAGAATCACAGAATCTGTACAGTTTTAAAGCTGCAAAGTAGCTTAGTCGAGATACTAATCTATAGAGTAACCCAACCTAAAAAACACTTATTTGGCATCTATTATGTAGCCAAGTAACCTAAATAAGTAAGACAAAAATCCCCTTCCTCAAGGGCTTCACAGCCAACAGAGAAAGGCAGACAGCTAAGCCATCAAGCAACAATGGGATAAGTGGCTAGCTAACCACATGAACAAAAACACACGGGGAGAAAACACTGGAAAAGGCAGATTCACTTCCATGTTCATTGCAGCATTGTTTACACAGTGGAATACTATTTGGCCATGAAAAGGAATGAAATCTTGCCATTGGCAACCACTTGTCATTTGGACATTGAGGGCATTATGCTAAGAAATATGTCAGACAATGAAAGACAAATACTGTATGATCTCACAAATAATCTAAATTTTAAACAAACAAAAAACCCACCAAGCTCACAGATACAAAAAACAGAATGAAGGTGGTCAGAGGCAGATGTTGGGGAGTGGGCACAATGGGTGAAGGGGGTCAAAGGTACAAAATTCCAGGTATGAAATAAATAAGTCATAGGGAAGTAATGTCAGCATGGTGACTATATTAATAATACTGTACTGCATATTTGAAAGCCCTGAATAAATCTTATAAGTTCTCATCACACACAAAATTTTATAACTATCTGTGCTGACAGATGTCAGCTAAACTTACTGTGATCATTTTGCAATATACACAAATATTGAATCATTACATTGTATCTCTGAAACCAATATAATGTGCTAGGTCAATTATACCTCAATTTAAAAAATCTAATATTGAAAAAAAGACACAGGAAGGGAAAAAGGAGAGAGATTTGTGTACGTGTGTGTGTGTGTGTGTGTGTTTTTCTGGGTGGCAACTAGGTCAGGCAAGAACTGATGAGAATGAGCAGGCTCTCCCAAAGGAGAGAACAGAGTGTGCCACATCTTCTGTCCTGTACATGCCAGCACCGCCTCTGCTTTCATTGCTCTCAACACACTTCGGCCTCCCCACCTCTGCAGCCTCGTTCCTGGCCACTCTGTACCGCAGCCACCTTCTCTGGTCAACTCTAACCCTACCCATGGACAGCCCACCCACCACTGTCCTCGAGCTGTCAGGCTCTTTGCTGTCATCCTATCTGCGCCTGTGCGCTCCCTCAGAAACGCCCTTCCCACCTCTGCCTGCCTAGGAAACTCGCATCCATCCTGCAACGCCCCACCAGCCCCTCGCGTCAGTAAAACGGCTCCCTCCCATTCTTCAGCTCTTTGTGCTACAACTTCTTATGCTCTATTATTTTTAGCTGTTGGGTAGTCTGTCTCCCCTCCTAAACTATATGCTCCATGAGGGCATGTTTCAAATCTTAATGCACGCCGAGCTAACCTAGGAGATTCCACACTATGAGAGCATGGCTAGTGTTGCAGCATCAGAAACTGCAGCTTATTGTAATTGGCTTATTGTCTTTATTTGACACGAGAGAATGTGGTTTAGTTGAAAGGATAGTTCTTTACTGAGAATGCATCCCAAACATTAGCCACTGAATATATTATCTGTGAATGAATGGAGACCTCTGGAAGGCCCTTTTCGGAAGGTCATTTCATCCACCTGGAATTGTCCCGCCTGAGAAGCCCAGCCACATCCCCTTTCTGAAAAAGGAGCCTAGCCACCACTCATTGTCTGAGATTGCTTTTCAGTAACAAATCTGCCAGTAACAAATCAAGCACTATGCCTTCCCTGTGACAGTATATGTCACACGGCATGAATCCTCCACGCACACCGAGGTCTGTTCAGAATTAGTGCCCTTTTCATGAATGTGGTGGGCACGTGTTTATCTGCTAAGTCTCTTGGTTGGTTAGCGTCATGATTCTTTGCCAGAACAAGGGGATCTGGATTGTGAATGAATGAGGATTAAAAATAAAGAAGTCACTGGGTTAACTGACTTCTCAGAGATTGTTTTCAGATCTTCCCCTTGTCAGTTCTGGCTCACCGGCCTGAGCGCATCAGCTCCTGTGTGTAACTCTGATCTCTGGCCCCATAAGTGTGTACGCAGCATGACCAGGCAGGTCCAGGTCATGTACGTTTTTGATTGTGCCATGTTTCAGTGTTACAATACCCATCTCCAGTCGACGAGTTTAAAAAACTTGGGGGAAATCGAGGCAGGTAGGTAAAGTAGGGAGAGAAGAATTGAAAGGAATAAGAAAAAGCAAAATTACAATGCCCTAAATACACAATACCTCAACAGAATCCGGGGATTCACAGAAGAGTAAAGAGAGATGCTATTATCTAAACCAAAATGCTTATTTCTGATTATGATGCTTCTGGGTTTATAGAGACACACATATATATTTTAATGACAAAAGGAGACATGAATGCCAACCAACGACTATATTTTTTATAAGATGACACTGGGTAGAAATACCAGCAGTATCATTTTAATGCCAAATGACACAGGAGAAACTAAAATGACAATTTTTATGGAGAATTAAAATTTAGTGAGTTTTTCAGTTTACTATTAAAATACAGCGCTGATGTGTTCTGCTGAGTATCAGAATAAAAAAAATAGGCAAACCATTTATGAATAAAGTGGTTGTAATTTGGTGGTGGAAAAAAAAGTCAATTTCCTTATAGTTAAAAATAGTGAAAGGATGGAGGGCGGGGAACAGATGGAAGTGTGTCTAGGAAGGCAGGTGGGAGTGCTCTCTAACTGATCTCTGAGGCCAGGCTCCGGCTGGGACTCTGTCATGGGGCAGCGAGGAGTGATCGGAGACAGGACAGTCAAGGGCAGTGAACGGCCAGCTGCTGCGAGAGCACCTCAGAAGCGAGAAGGGGTCACGGTGGTAGATGCTGGACCAGGGGTCCAGCCTGGGAGGGGCGGGATGGGGCCCGGGAGGGAGGAGGCGCTGAGGACTCCCCCAGAGCCTCTTGACTCCTTTCTCCCCATCACTGTGCAGCTCCTCTCACTTCCGTCTCACTGCCTCCTCTCTTTTGATTTTCTTGTTCTTTCCCTTCCATTCATCCCTCTCCATCCACCTTCCTTTGCTCTTTTTCTCTTAACTTCCCCTTTCCACCATCACTTTTCCTTCCCTCTACCGCCTCTCCTTCCCTTCCTTGGCTCTCTCCCTTCCACAACTACAGTCCAACATATTTTTCCATCCAGGAGGGCATGGTTGGAGAGTCAGGAAGAACCTTACTTGAATCCTGCCTTCCTAGCGAACCAGATGATGTTGGCGGGCTGGCCCCAGCTGGTCGGGTTGGGGACCACAGAACTCATAGCTGCTCTCTTCAGTGTTGACCCCGTGTCAGGGACTCAAGCAGCGCATTTACAGGCATTGATTGAACTCATCCTCAGGACCGTTCCTAAAGGGACTGGTCTTATCACCCCCATTTAGCCCAAGGAAACTGAGACAGAAATGTGTAGCACCTGGCCTGACATCACCATTCAGGATGAAAGACAGTAAGGAGCTGAGCCTAGGACCTCAGCCTCCCCATCAGCAGGCATCACCCCCAGGGAGGCTGTGTGGTACCCAGAACAGAGCCTGGCCTTGGGGGGTCTGATATGCTTCCAGTAAGGGTTGGTCCTTCTCCTTCCCTGGCTCATGTCCCTTCATCACATCAGACAGAAAACACATCTATTTTTAACAATGAAACTTTATATAAAAGGTTCAGCAAATAGTATTCATTTGTTGAAAGTGATATTATATTGGTGATTGCATGGGGTTAGTGGGGAAATTATTAGGCGCCTGCTATCACGCTTCTTTTGGCCAAAGCTGTTTTTCCTGGCACCAATGGCTGCTGAGGTGACAGCTGGACTGAAGCAATGCTATTGTCACTTGTGTTTGTGAAACCAGAGCACATATGTGAAAAAAAAAACAAAACAATTTGTACCACACATGCTTTGTATCAAGAAATTTGGAACATGAA